ATAATGAAACTATGGTCCAGAGAAAAACAGTGACATCTGGAGCTATGTGGGGCTCCTTGAACTCTCACAGGTGTCTATGTAACAGGAAGTCTGGCTCCACTCCAGTCCATCCTGTTGGACTCCTAGCCACTATAATTATGCTCCTTCATTCCTTCAGTAGGATACTCCAAAAAGAATTCCTACATGTGACAACACTCATCTAGATACAACAGAAAATAAAATATCTGATCTCATGGTGCATATCTTTACAGACTTTTGCAAATGTCACATCCTCAGTGAAGCCTTCACAAGTCATTCTAAACTGACATGTTTGTCTTTCATATATGTGTGTTTCAATTATATATATATATATATATACATATTATCTTGATATATCTTGATAATATATATATTATCAAGAACATAGTAACGCCTGGCAAATACTTCTTATTTTATTAACTCACTCAATCATCCACAAACACTTGCTAACAATTTGTTATGTACAATATTTTATATTTTTTAACATGTACTGATTAGAATTAAGGATCTCTCTCTGTATCTACACACACACACACACACACACACACACACACACACACACACACACACCTATATATAATATAAAATCTTCTCAAATCTAGTTCAAATTCTTTCATTATGATATGGAATACATGACAGAGACCCACAGACCATGCAGGCTGGGCAGCCTTTGTAAAGCCTTGAGAACAGCTCTGTATGAGATGAGATGAGAATGGATGGAGATGTCAAAGTCAAAAGGACAGGAGTGATTGGAAAGAAGGGACACTGGCTGTAGGAAGAGTGGTGGGAATATGGGACAATCTTAGACAATAAGTACCACCAAATTCACCCTAAAGAACAGTTCTGTTCCTTATCTTGACCAGCATGCTCCATGTAAGGTAGCTCCTGCCTTATCTATCTTGGTTTTTTTTTTCATTGTTCTAGCCATTACTCATGTCCTTGAGATATACTGGCCTTCATCTTCATCCTTGATCTTCTAAACTGTGTCTAAGTGTCAAGATCTTTGTGCTTGTTTTTCTCTGCCTGTAAAATGCCCATCCCAAATTGAAAATACATTTACTGTATATGTTTAACTACAAACATTATAAGCAAGCAATGCAATACATTAAGGAATATCAGTTGCTTATCTTTGTGTGGCTGTGTGGATGACTAGAAGTTGAGAAAGCTGTGGCTGTTGTAGGTTGACACTGTCACGTCCAGTAGCATGAGATTACCTGTCATATATCACACCATACCACATCATATCACAAGCCTGGGAATCAGTCAAAATATATAGTGAATGCATATTACATTTGCACTATAATAGTAAAGTCCAAAATTTGTAAGCTGAACCACCCACATTTGGCATCCATCCATATTACAGCTAAGTCATCCAAACAACTATTTCTTATTTCACTCAGTTCTTTTGCAGACGTCACCTGTAGCTAGTTTTCCTGCCTTGTCCACAGTCAGGACAAATCTCTGTCTACCGCCAGTCTCACAGCCGCTCAGACCCAACCAAGTAAACACAGAGACTTATATTGCTTACAAACTGTATGGCCATGCCAGGCTTCTTGCTAACTGTTCTTATAGCTTAAATTAATCCATTTCTATAAATCTATACCTTGCCATGTGGCTCGTGGCTTACCGGCGTCTTCACATGCTGCTTTTCATGGCGGCAGCTGGCAGTGTCTCCCTCTGCCTTCCTGTTCTCTCAATTCTCCTCTCTGTTAGTCCCGCCTATACTTCCTGCCTGGTCACTGGACAATCAGTGTTTTATTTATTGACCAATCAGAGCATTTTACATACAGACCACCCCACAGCAGTCACCAATTTATATAAAATGACCTATCGTCATTTTAAATCTGTTCTTCTTGATTTATTTTTAAACACAAAACTTACACTAGCTATCATTATGACATATCCTTATTTATTTATATCATAATTATATGCCTCTTTGAAGATAGAAAACTTTGCTTCAAACACATCTGTGTCCTTGGTACCTACCCATCAATTATAAGCACCTTTGTAAATAATTTGTTCAATTAAAGATGCAATGTCTAGCCTTCCTTTATCCCTAAATCATAATAATTTTTCATCAACTAAGTTTTTAGAGGGGTTGCGAGAATGGTATAAAATCACAAAACAGCTCTTATCCTTGAGGAGTTTGCAAAATAACCTGATAAATGTCTGTACCTATGTAGGCTCAGAGATATCATAACAAAGAGGAAAAGCTTTGATGTTCTAAAAATATCCACTTGAGGCTAGAGCTTCTCAGAGCCAGAGAGAAGTTTTAGATGGAACCCTGAGAACAAAGACTGAAAAGGGCTTAACATAACAGAAATATAGCATGCACTTGATAAATACTTGAATTACTGAACAAATGGTGCATTTTGTTCATTTCTTTTCAGAATTTCCCTACCTACCTTTACTAACAAGATGGAATGCAAGGTGAAATACTATGAGGGCAAAACGGAGCTGGGAGCAGAGAGGGAAAGAATAAACAAGCCCTACTTTTATTTATGAAGTCCTACATGGACCATTTTCTTCTCATAGAGAATAGTGCTCATACCTTGTCTTTATGGAATGACTGGTTCCTGTGGGGGCTCAGACCATTTTATAGACATGTTCTTATTCATTCTATTTCAGGTTTATTCAATTACAGAATGGCTCATTGTTCCAAAACATGCATTCTTAGAATTATCCATTCTCCTGTTAGAGTTACAAAGATTTACAAATCATCACAAAATGGCTCCAAAATTGCTACTGCAGGAAAAAAGGTGGGCGAAAATGGACTTTCTCTGCATTTATAATATATGAACTCTTTAGATATTAGGAAGCTATTCTTTTAATACCCATCTTAGAAATGAAGGAAAACATACACCATGACTTAGCTGCAGTCATATGATGTGAAAATAAAGGTAGGAGAAAAGAACATTATTTCTCCATAACATTAGCTAAGGCTGTAAAAGTAATAACTAACCAGTGTGGCTTAAGATGTAATACGATAGTCACTTTCAGAATAGGCCTGAAAGCAAAAGGTGATGCAAACCTCTTCCTGAGCTAAGAATCACAAGGAGTAGGTTCATTTGCTTTATATGCTTGCACTGCTATAGTCTCAGATATGCTCTTTCCTTTTCTCCAGCTTGGTTTTCTTACCTGACAGCAGGGTGGTTTGACAAGGTGATCTGATGGGAGAATATCTTTCTGTATGCTGTGAAAATATGTTGCTATGAATGGTTGATAAATAAAGCCGTTTGACTTATGGCAAGGCAGCTTACAGGCAGGTGGGGAATTCAAAGAGAAAGAGAGGAAGAAGGTGGGGAGAGATGCCAGCTAGTCGCCCAAGGAGCAACATGTAATGGGACACAGGTAAAGTCACAGAACACATGGCAATACATAGATTAATGGTTATGGGCTAATTTAAGATATAAGAGCCACCTAGCATGAAGCTTGAGCCATGGCCATGCAGTTACAATTAATATAAGCCTCTGTGTGTTTACTTGGGTGACATGATTGGGAGAGGCTTGTCTTGACCAGCAGGCCAGGACACAGGAAATCTGACTACAAATGGCGCCCAGACATGGGGCAAGAATTTCCACCCAAAACCTAAGAAAGCTTTTTAAAAAGGGGTTCTAAAATGGAGCGAAGAGCAGCTTCCTAGTTGTGTCTCTCAGGAAAGCTGTGATGTAGAGATGCTGCAGCCTATGAGCTTGAGCTACAGTATTGTGAGCTCACAGGGTATGGGCTTGAGTGCAGTATGGCAGATTTCTGCCAGTGTACACAATAGTGTCTAAGAGCCATGCAGAACATTGTGTGGTGGATTTAGCTTTGCTAGTACAAAAAGAAAAAAGAAAGAAAAGGTTTTGGGGTTATATGCTGCTGGATGGAAGCATAGAACCACTGCCTCCAAGAGCTGGCGGAGACCATGGTTTCACCAGAGCTGGCAGTAAATGTTACTTCCAATGCCTTGTTGGAAAGCTGAGATGGGTGGAGCCAGCAGCCAAAGCTGCCATTTCAGTCCTAATAATGCTGCATTTTAAAGCAATAGATTCACAAGAAGTCAGATTCAGATGAAATATTCTTTAAATGGTTTACTGTGTGTGTAAAAATAAAAGTAGGCTTAGAAGAGACAGGAAAATGAATATAGACAGTTATATAAAGAAATAGAAAGTTTTAAAAAATAAAGTCTTTAAAGAGAAAGTAAAAGTAATATAAAAAATAAGCCATGAAAAGATGGAAATTACACAGAGAGTCTGGGTTATATTGTCTTTGGGATTTTTTTTTTTTTTTTTTTTTTTTTTTTTGGTTTTTTGAGACAGGGTTTCTCTGTGTAGCTTTGCGCCTTTTCCTGGAACTCACTTGGTAGCCCAGGCTGGCCTCGAACTCACAGAGATCCGCCTGGCTCTGCCTCCCGAGTGCTGGGATTAAAGGCGTGCACCACCACCGCCCGGCCGTCTTTGGGATTTTTATCTGCAGAGAGACATTTGATTGTAAAAGCTGCTGAATTAAATCAATATGTATATTTTAAAGATACCTTAATTTCAAAATTTATGTCTAAGGATACATTGCTTTGGAAAAGAGGTTCTGCTTTTGTTTTCACGGAAGATGAGAACCTATGGATTGCTTCTAAGGCTAATATGGTTTGATCAAGGAAGACCCCCTGAGACGTCTCCAGATGATCCAACATCCAAAATGAGCTTCAAGGCAACTGGCTCAGACAGTGCAGCATCACAGACTACTCCAGTCAAGACTTGACCTTTTTAATGTTCTCAGGATACCCATAAGATTACCAGCACCTACAACCAGCAGGAAGTAGTATGAGAAGCTACACTCAAATTTCCAAATTGTTATAAATGTTTATTTTTATTTAAAGGGGGTTGATTATAAAGGCAATCTAAAGAAGAAAAGGGGATAGTATAGATATGATAGGATAAAAGACACATTATTGAATCTAATTCTTTTCTTGCTTTTGAAACCAGAATATTTATTTTATGACTGACTGAAATTCCTGAAGATGAACTGGATGCTGCAACAGCTGCCCTCTTGGGTTTAGGTGTTGGCCCTTCATGGAATCCATGTCTGAATCTTCGATAGACAATTTTTAGGTGCCTCATCTGCCCGATCCTGGTAGTGTTTTGTCTCTTAGCCTTGGCATTCCAGTTATACCTTCTCTTGTACTTGACTGGGTAGCCACATTTACCACATGTCAACTTCTGAAGGTAGTAGGCCTTAGGGCCACAGTAGTGGCACAACATGTGCATCTTATTGCGATGCTTTCTAAAGGATAATAGTCCTTTTGTCATCTTGCTTCTGCCACAGAGGCCAAAGAGACTAGAAGAGCTTAATCTACTTTTAAAGAGCAAGTTATTTAAAATGTTTTAAATTACTATAGATTTTAGTTTATGGATACAAATTTAATATTAATTTTCTTATTCTGTATATATATTTCTACTCTTCTTTAAGGTATTATGTTTATGTAACTCCATTTTTAAGGCATTGTCTAAGCATTGACCAGCCTTGGCACCAATAGACTCTGAAAAGCATTGGACTCAAACAATGCAGGCTCCCCTAACAGTCAGCTATTGATGGGGAAGAGGCTCATGGAGCCCTACCATTTACTGTTGAACTACTGACAACTAACAGATTCCAGGAGTGGGAGAGACATAGTATACAGTTGTGTAACTGCTAGTGAACCCACAAGCTCTAATGGATAGTTCCAAACTCAGGGTCAACAATTTGTCCTGGTTACACTCTATGGGACACAAAACAAATAAACAAATACCTGTAATGAACATGGGGAAGAGATTTGTGATGAAGCAGGGGGACACATAGTTGTGGGAGGGAAGCGAGTTCAAAGAAAGTGAGCAAAATGCACTCTATACTTATACGAAAGTTTTAAAAACAAAGTTTATTAATAAATTTCAAAACAACTCAAAACCCATTCCTCAAGTTTAGACTTTGTCTTATAAGCAACAAGTGGTATTAGAAGTTCTTAGTAGTGAATGGTCATGTTTCATCTTAGAAAAGAATTTTATAAATCACCATATACTTCACTTAGTGAAATACAGATCATGTTATTCTTGATCACAAATCAAATTGACTTTCAGGCAAGCCCAGGCACCTGTGCAGAACAAACTGACTCTTCTATTCCTTAAAATATATTGTTATTATATTGTATTTATTTGTATGCATATGAGGATATCCTACAAATTATATACTACTTCTAATTTTAATTTTTCTTATACAATTCTTTATTGACTCTGGAAATTTCACATTATGTGCCCCAATCCTGCTCACCTCCCAGTCACTCTGTATCCACTTCACACCCTTGCAGCATGCCTCCCAAAGTTTATTAAAAAACAAAACAGCAAAAAACAAAAAACAAACAAAAAAAAAAAACAAAAAAAACAACCGAAAAAACCACCTAGCTCCTCCATATTTCCAACACCTCTTCACTCATCCTAGTGGTATCGGGAGCTGTAGTGTGTCACTTAGTATACACTTTTGTTAAATCAGCCCACCCCTGAAATATTTCATTGGTCTGATTCAAAGCCTCTAGCACACTCTAATCACTGGACTCTCATTGAAACTCCTCTCAGATATCACATCCCCAAGTCATGGAGATCCCAGAGCTATAATACTGCAGGACCAGTCCCTTTGTGCACTCCAGCAAGTCATAGATGGAGCAGATGTTAGAGTGGACCAACCCAAGGCCCAGGATGTGGGTCTGGGCGATAACTGAGTTGGTTGGTCCAGGACACTGGGATTGCCCTCTCAGGCGAGGGGTAAAGCCAACTCCCCTAGGACCATGCCATTGGGACCAGCTCTCTCACACCTGTGGTGAGATGTGGGACCATTTCTCTTGAGTGCGATGGTCAGCTTTGCTGGGCGGAGTCAGCTCTCCTACTACAGTGTCCAGTGAGGGGCAGGACCAGCTATCACTGGACCAATGAGGGGCAGGGATGGCTCAGCACGGCCCTCAGATTTAAATAGGAATGGTTCCTATGACCCCCTGTGGTAACATAATCCATGGACATCAGCCCAGACCCTGGCTGCTATTGGACCACAGACCCAGGCATGACCCATGGCAAACACCCAGGCCCAGACAACACCATGCCCCTGTGTGGCTGTGCAGGCTACCCATATCAACATGGCCCTGATGGCAGCATGGCCCTCAGACACCAATTTGTCCAGAGGTTGCAGTCTAGACCCGGGTATCCATGTGACCTTTGGTGGTACCATGGACCACACATGATCCTCCTTGGTAGCAGCCCCAAGTGGCAGTGCAGGTCACTCAGATTGGTGTGGACCCCATGGCAATGAAGCTTTCAGACATCAACATGGCCCCAGATGCTAGCCCACACCTGGCATTGGCATTGCTTTTGATAGTTGATTGTATTTGGGCCATGGACCCAGATATGGCCCTTGGCAGCATCCCTGGCCCAGATGACACCATGGCCCCAATGACAGCATGGTCTTTGGAGAACAGCATAGCCACAGGATGAGGCCTAGCCCCCAGGAATCCATGTGACCTTTGGTGGTACCACAGGCCACAGACATCAGAGCTTCTGACTACGGCAGGACCATAGACTCAGACAGAGCCCCCAGCAGCAGCCTAGTCTCAGATGTCACCATGGCCCCAGGTGGCAGTGCAGGCCACTACTATCAGCATGGCCCCTGTAGCAGAGTGGCCCTTGGCCACCAACATGGTCCCAGGTGGCTATCCAGAACCCTGTCATCAGCATGGCCTTCAATGGTATCAGGAGCCATGGACATCAACTCAGACTCTGACTATAGTAGGGCCACAGACCCAGACATGGCCCTCAGCAGTAGCCCTGGCCAAGTTGACACCATGACCCCAGGTGGCAGCAGGGGCCACTTAGATTGGCATGGTCTTGGTGACAATATGGCCCACAGGTTTTGATCTAGACCCCAGTGGGCATCTGTGTAGTCTCTGGTAGCACCAGAGTGGGTGGACATCAACATAGACTCCAGATGTGGTAGGACCACGGACCCAGACATGCCCTTGGCAGCAGCCCTGGTGCAGACAACACCATGGCCCCAGTGATAAAATCCCCCTAGTATACCAACATGGCCAGATGCCATGCAACTTAGGTGGGAAAAAGACACCCATAGGGCAGCATGGGTCCTCATGGGCCATCCTGCCTGTAGCATTCACATGCCCACTAGCTCCTTGTGGCACCAAGCAGGTGGATGCCAACATGATGAGAAAGTATATGGTGGTGAATTGGGAGAGAAAGAGAGGCAGAATTGTTCGTATGCTGTGGTATGAGGCAGTTCCAAAAAAGGGAGGGCTGTGAGGAATGGGCAGATGTTGGTGGCTTGCTTGCCCCCCTATACACACCGTGAACATCCAGGCATGGGCTGCTGCCTATGGCCATGTCAAGGTCTGTGGTGATGTCCATGACTCATGTTGCTACTAATTTTCATTTTATAGATGCATATGCAAACTATTTTATACTCTTTAAAGAATCCATATTTTAAAATTTTTAATTAAAATATGATAATATTATTTTGTCCCTTTTTTCCTTTCAGCCCCTCCCATCGCCCTGCTCCCTTTCAAATTCATGGTCTTTTATTCTTTGTTATTGTTACATGTATAAAAACATAAATATATAATATAACATGCTCAGTCTATTTGGTGTGCTTGTACTTAAGTATTACAATCTTTTAATAGACTCTTTAATAAATATGTAGCCAAATCTATTTTTTATACCATATTTAATTTAAACCATTATTCCTGCTCTACATGGGCACCTATGATTACAAATACCTTTTTTGTTTTATACCCACACTGGTCTTTTGACTTAAGATGGAGGCCCACTCTTTTCTGAAGGGAACGGAGTGGATCTCAAGGAGATGGGAGATGGATAAGGGGACTGGAAGGAGTGAAGGGAGGGGAAACTGCAGTTGAGATGTATTATATGAGAACAATAAAAAAAACATAATGGAAACAAACAAACAAAAAAGATATGATACTCCATTCTCTAGAGCAGCTCTGTCAAGGTTTTCCTGGTCCTCTAGCTTCCATAGCAATCATAGCAGTACCACCATGGCTATGGTTTACACCAAATATCCTACAAGCTTTCATGCACTTTGCCTTTCAACAAACTCACATGTGCTTACTTGTGCCCACAACATCTTAGCCAAGACAGGCAATTGTGAGAAGATACAGTGTTTATCCTGATGTATTTTTAGGATTGTTTGAGAACACTGTGGAATGAATACATTTTCATTCCAAAATTCATCTGTTGTGATCTGCTTCCCACTGTAGTCTAATCAAGAGATGTGATCTTCTATAATCTTTAGGTCCTCTGGAACTAGCCCTCTTTTCAAAGAGACATGAGGGAGCTTATTCACATGTAGTCACTCTATATCTTTCCACTCTTATCTTGGACACGATGTTTTCAGGCTACCCTCCTCACTAATCAGTCTATGGATTATTTGTCACTAAAATCATAGAAAACAGGCAAACACCACTGCTGCCACAATGATAAATTTTCTTGACTATTTTCTGTAGTTGGAAGTTTCTCCTGTCCTGCCAGGTCCCCACAGTCCTGCAGCCTTTTATAAAATACTCACACAGAGGATTAATATTATTTATAAATGTTCAGGCATTAGCTCAGGCTTATTACTGACTAGGTCCTACACTTAAATTAACCCATAATTCTTATGTTTAGCCACATGACTTAGTACCTTTTATCAGTTCTGTCTTGTCATCTTGCTTCCTCTGTGTCTGACTGATGAGCCCTGATTCCACTCTTCCTCTTCCCAACATTCCTTTAGTCTGTTCACTCCACCTACACTTCCTACCTGGCTACTAGCCAATCAGTGTTTTATTAAACCAGTGTACAAAAGCATTATTCCACAGCATTTCCCCTTTTCTGTCTAAACAAAAAGGAAGATTTTAACTTTAACATAGTAAAATTACATATAATAAAACAGTTATCAAGCAAGAATTACAGTTATAATATCTAGTCCATTTGTATTTGACAAAATAAAAGAAAATATTCTATCTATCCTATATTTATGAGTATAAATTTTCATATCTAATTTATCTTCTATCTTAACCAAGTAAATTATAATTATAATTATCCAATCTTCAACTACATCAAAGAAAAGAGAAGGATATAATATTACCCAAGAAAACAGGAAGAACATTGTAAGCAACTTCCAAAAATCTAGAATGGCAGAGACAGCTGGACAGTTATCCAAAGTTCTTCTGCAATGTTGGGGTATCTTTCTTCAGCCTATAGGAATACAGTCTCTCAGTCACTTTTCT